AATCCCCCGCGGATTTCCCTATTCTGACTTGCCTGCTTTGCATGCCTCTTCCGGAGAAGGGGCCAGTCTAGACGTAGCCTTTGAGTTTGACTTAATATTTTATTTAAAAATGAAGCCTGGCCAACAAACCCCCAGTTGGGTTCAAACCCCTATCTCACTGCAGCATCATAACACTCCTGCACCACCTGGCCCCAAATCTGAGCCTATCATACACTGGAACCCCCTGTCCTGAGCTTCTTACATCCCCAAACTCCTGCATCCCACATCCTCAGTCTTCTGCCACAACTCTCCTGCACCATCCACACATCACAAATCTGTGTCCTGAGCCCATCATACTCACAATCTTCTTGCCCTGAGTCCCTCACATATCCAGCCCAAACTCCTGTATCCTCACATCCACAAGCCCTGGCTTGCTCAGCATCCCAGCCTTCCACCTGAGCCCAACACTCCCCAGCCTGGAGCCCCCTCCCCAAGCCAACATCCCCTTCTCCTGCTTCCAAATTCCCTCCCAGAGCTTGTACTTCTCACCCCTTCCCACCCCCAAATCCCTCGTTCCCACCCCACACCTCCTGTCTCAACCTAGTGAGAGTGTATAAGGGCTGGGGATAGCCAGTGATGGAGAGGAGGGGAACAGAGCGGATGAGGCCTCAAGGAAGGAGGGTGGGGGGGGTCTCAGGGAAGGAATGTGATTTTCATGCACTGGTGGGAATTTTCCCTCACCCCCCTCCCCCCTTTTTTTTTTTTGGTTGACAAACCTAGGGGTTCCTTGAAATTCTGAAAAGCTGAAAAGGGTTCCTCAGCCAAATAAAATTGGGAGACACTGCCCTAATGAAATGTGCTACACACGCCTATGGCTGACATCACAACTTCAAATTCTTGTCTAGGCAAAGCCTAACAATTCTGTGAATATGTGTGTATACCTCCTGTTAGCTGCAGTTGGAGTTATCCATATGCATTGACATCAGAAAAAACTTCCCAGGTCAAACTCCCCATAGTTGCAAATAGGAAACATCTTTTGCTTCATACAGGCTGCATGTCTCTGTTGAGTGATTATTCGTTGACTATATCATGTCTGTAGCATTGTATGTGAGCCCTGAATCCACATTAGGAAGCTCTCTTTTGTGGACTTGACAAATCCACCAAAATAAATCTTCTGGGAAAATGTGCAGCTCACTGAACCAGAGGAATAAGAAAAAGAGACGGTGATCCATGTGTGGAGGGATTGCAGGATTTGGCTCCAAGGGTGGGATTTTCAAAAGTTCCTAAGCAACATAGAGCACAGGTGCCATTGAAAGGTTTTGAAAATCCCACACTAAAGCACCTTATTCAGTACCCAAGTAAATGGAAAAAGGAAAGTATCAGCATGACACAGAACAGGAGTGAGCACTGCAAAGGATATTCTTTGATCGCCTGCCCATC